GGGACCATTACCACAAGTTAAAGGAAACGTACGGTTTTTGCTAGTATTAACAGATTATTTTTCCAAATGAGTAGAGGCAGGAGCCTTCAAACATGTACGAGAGAAGGAAGTCATGGACTTTATTTGGCAAAACATTATATGCCGATTTGGAGTGCCAAGAGAAATCGTATGTGATAATGGCCCACAGTTGAGTCCAAATTAGAAAGGTCCTTACAATATTCGAAGCATCGCTGGAAAAAGGGCTTATGAGTTGGAAAACATGGAAGGCAAGGTACTACCGTCGAATTAGAATGTTGTTCATTTAAAGAAGTATTACTTCTAGGCAAAGGAAGTACCCACGGTCAGGTATCGCTCAACTGTGATTTTATTTTGTTCTTTTAAATTATATTAACAATTTTAGATGATAGGCAAAAAGCTAGCCCATACCAAATGATGACATTAGACCCTAAAGACACGCGGAATACAGAATTATTCCCGGTCTAAGTTACAACCTTTCTGATGGAAATAAAAAGAGTTAAGCAGTCATCATCTAAATGTATACCTCCGAGTCCCGTATGTATTTTCCTTTTAAGGAAATTGACCAAATGGAAGGAACAATCAAGTGCTCGAGGTTTCATACTTCAAAGCTCTAACACTTGGGGGACTGTATATATAAAGGCAAAGAAGACTAAAAGTCATAATTCAAGCTTGAATCAGCCCAAAAGTCAAAAGTCAAGAGCTAATCAAGAGCCAAAAAACTTTGAAGTAGCCTTGATAAGGTATAAACTCGCGGGAAAGATACAATATGGACACAAGATACATTTCAAGTTCCTACGAGTTTATAGGTTAAGGGCAATAATTAGTCACAAGTTACTAAATAGACCCGAAATTTTGAAACTTGTTACAAAGAAAACAGTTATGAAAGAATTGTAGATGTTGTACAAAAAGTTATTTGTATACATGAAAAGTGTTATATAAAATTTGAAAGTACAAAGCATGAAACTTCCTCAAATTATTCATGAAACTTCCTCAAAATATTCTTTTTTCTACTACTTTCATATATTTACACCAATATGAAGTTGAGACGTCTTCTTCATTAGTATCGTTTATAAAAGGGCCCTCTTTTATAAAAATTCGTGTCTATCAAAATCACAAAATATTAAAGCATTTTAAATACATGTTTAAAAACCAAAGAGTAAAACAAAAACTCAACATCAAAATAAGCAAATATTTATATATTAAACTTGACCAAAACTAAGGTACTTTTTTGTTATCAAACCCCAAAACAAGATAGGGGTAAAAACTAACATCCATTCCAAAAAAAAAAAAATTCCCATCAAAAAGTTTCAAATAAAACTAAGGGGCAGCATCCAAGATGGCATCATCAGCAATGGGAGAAGATTCAGCTTGGGGAGTAGGGGCTTGAGCACTAACTTCACAAGGAATAGGATCATCACCTTCGGGAACACCAACCTCAGGTGAGGAAAAGCTTTGACTTTGCTGAGTTTTTTCAATCGTTTCTTTAGCTTTGGCGATCTCAACATTCAGGTCGAAGCCTTCATGGTTAGCCTCTATCAAAATTTCGAGGAGGGTATTCAAAAAGCCCAACTCACAATGAGTATCAACTTATCTTCAAGAGCTTCATAATCTTTCTCCCACTGATCAATCTCAGCCTTCATCTCTTTTTTCTCAATTTTGGAAGCATCGAAGGCAGTCTTCAAAGGGGCAAGAGAACTCTCCAAGAACTTTATCTTATCATAAGAGGCACGAAGATCTTCTTGAGTTTATGTAAGTGATTGAGCTAACTCTCCGGCATAAGTCTCTTTCTGGTTAAGAAGTTCCTTCAGACCCCTTATCTCTTCAATGGCTTTCGAAAGCTGCTCAGCGAATGAAGACTCAAGGATATCCTTGTCTTTGCCAACTTGACTTGAAGATGCCTTTTCAATTGCTAATTCAGTCGCAACCATCTTCGCTTGTTGCTCCAAGGCATTCTTCTCCTCATCCAAAACTTCCTTCTCCAGTTGAAGACCCTCAAATTGCTCCTTCCAGTTGTCAGCTTCGGTACCGTAATCAATGACTTATTGCTCGGTATGAACAATCATTTTCATAAGCTTTGTGCCTATCAAATTGATCTACAAAAGAAAGGAAGGGAGTTGTGGTTAAATAAAAGAAAACAACAACAAGAAAAAGAAAAGAAGCTAAAACTCGAACTTTCAGAGATGAATGAACAATATCATTCATCCAAGTCAATGAGCCGTGACTCTCCAATTCTGCCTTCTCTACTGGACCAAGCAAAGGTTTCAACCATACATCAGCTTGACCAGAGACTTTCTGTACCGTGTTTTGACTTTCTAACCAAACTTTTGAGAAAGGTACTTCCAAGACCTTCTCTCCATAGGGGCAACTGGCAATAACTTTTCTACCCTAGCACGGAAGTTAGGAATCTCCTCGAAAACTTCCATGGTTGCTAAAAAAGTAGACATGAGTTTAAAAGTTTCTTGTTTCAAGAAAGAAAAGAAAAGGTAAAGGAAAGACACTTACGTGCAAAATTCCACTTTTCTGGAAAAGGCATATTCTCTTCACTCACCAAAGCACTTGTGAGAGCAGCTACAACGCGAGCATACCAGCCACTATCTCTATCATCCTTGGGGCTAACCAATACCCTCTTGCTTCTGGCCACAAGTGAAAACACCCCTTCACGAAATAATTTGAAGGAATAAAGATAAAGCAAATGATGAAAGGTGAAAGGCAGGGGAGCCAAGTTAGATAGGTAACGAAGGCATACAATAGCCCTCCAAACAATGGGACCAATTTGTCCCAGGCATACATTAAATAAGCGGCAGAATTCAATGATTACTGGGTCAATGGGTGGTCTAAATCCTAAATTGAAAGGATATGTATAGATAAAGGAATAACCAGCCTGATATGAGGTTATTCTTTGGTTTGGATCAGGAACTAAAACTGGAAAGTAAGGTTTCCAGTTATATTCTCTTCGAACAAGAGAAATTAAACCAGTGGTAATTTGAGTAGGATAAAGATCTGTACGATCATGAGAAGCTAAAGGAGAAACTTGATTTCTTATGGTTTCTCGATCAGATGAGAAAGAACATTCATGTGGAACAATTTAATCAACCGTTGGTTCACGTATAGATTCACTCGATTCCCTATTTCTAGAAGAAGATCTAGGGGTTAAAGAAGCCCTAGGTTTAGAAGAAGAAGAAGTGGGAGTAGTGGTTTGAGATGAAGAACTACGAGTGGACAACGAACCTAAACTACAAAGTTTGCCTCATCTTCTACTTCTCACAGGAGCAGATGAAGGAGCAAGTTCATCAACAATTACGACTTTGCAAGGGTCAGGAGTTGATGAAGACATGGTTGTATAAGGAATTAGCAGAGGAATATGCGTCGAAAAAAGAAGGAAGAATGAAGAAGAAGAACAATGTAGAATAAAGGTTTCATAAAACCTAAGAAGTATGAAAAGTCCTAAAAACGATGAGAAGCCACAGAACCAATAATCAAAAGCCATGTGGCATATGCATTAAATGGAGGTGACATACGACGCGTTAATTCTGAAGAAAGCACAATGATGCTTGGGAAATGGCGGCAAAGAATTCTCGCCATAAATATATACCACTTACCGAATATTCAATTGTAGAATATTCAGAAAGTGGGGGACTATCTGTATTGGTTGTAAATAAATGATACACGTGGAATTATATTTAGCTGACAGAGCATGATACGTGGAACAATGAGAAAATGACAAATGACATATTTCATTTAAAAGATGTATGAAGCGCAAGAGGTACGGGGCAAATACCCACGAGATAATGGAGAACCAACGTTCGAACCTAAAATAATTGCTGAGGAGGCACGGGCGGAATGAATCAAGACTGGAAAGAGGGAAGATTCACGGACCTACAATTAATGAAGAAGGGGAATCAAAATCGTTACAAAATCTTCATAGATAGTTACGATTACCAATCATAATGGACAATTAATGTCGTTAAAGCTCATAATGATTCCGCCATAAATAGGAGGAAACGTTATATTTGTAAACTCCTATATAAGGGAGGAGAATCTCATTTGTAAAGACACGTTCGGAGTACTATCGAAATATATTCACTTTCTCTTGCTTATTCAGTGCAATCAATTATTCTTTCTTTTTAGTTACTTTTTGTCAACTTTATTTCTGAGGAAGTACGGAATTTTTTTGTTATCAATAACCCGAGTTCTTCTAAAAATAGACTTTGAGTAAAGATCTTATTTTTTGGTTAAACAGTTGTCACTCTTTTATTTTTGTTAATTACCGTATCTCGGTGCTACGTTACTATTTCGTTTTTATTACCGTAAATATTATTTCTGTGGAGGTTTATTCCCCACATCCATTTTATATAGCCACTCAGAATGTATTTCAGTTTGAGTACTTTAAGGTTCTGAAGGGAAGCAATTGCTGAAAAGTGATGAGGATGCAGGTGAAACTTCTCTAGTCTCAGGTTTTTGAGGTTTGGTGAAGAGATGCAAAAGGGGAGGGTATTTTCATCAATGTGAAATGGCGACTTATGACTAATCTGCAGCATTTCATGTTGTGGTGGAAAATTCAATACATAGTACTTTTCAGTCTGCCTTTGAAATTTCTCTCTATAGTAAAAATTGGTACCCTGGACTTGGCATCTAAGTTCCCGTAGATTTGGTGTATTTCTCAAAATCATTTCCACATCCAGGACACAAGAAAAACATGGATAGGAAAGAGTTCTCAGATCATAGGAGTATGTAAAATTATACGGCTAATTGTAAATACAACTTGAACACTAATTGGTAAATTACCGTTTTATCCATAGGAGAAGATTCTCTTTCTTTGCTCTCTCCTTGTAGAAATCATGCAATAGGTCATGTATTCGACATGCTTTAATCTTACCTCCAATACTCCTCTTATTTCCCATCACTAGATTTCTTCAAATAAGATTTCCCAAATAGCCTTCTGCTATATTCTCCAAACTCTTGCCTTCACAACTTTTTATGAATCATTCGGAGATCCACATGCGTGTCAATTTCAAAACGTTAATCACACTGTCCTCTAAGACTGCTCCAAAGTAAAGAAAGCAGAGGTTTATATGGTAGGGTAAAATCCCATACCTATGTTCTATAATGGCCCTTGAATCGCCGTGAATGTGGGGAACTAAATTATTGGCCACTTGTTCCCAACATTCTTCTTTCTTCTCTGTATCTGCAAGAATACCAGCCACCAAAGCAACTGAAAGAGGTAACCGACCACTCTTTTTTGCAATTCGTTGCCCAATATTATTTAAGAGAGGGGAGCATCTTTCTTCACCAAACACCTTCTTTCGAAGTAACTCCCAACTTTCATCATCGCTAAACATACGAAGCGAAAGGGGATCACTTCGAAATCTAGCATAATTGGCAACCTCATTATTTCGCGTTGTTACAATGATTCTACTTCCATTATTGGTATCTTGAAAACAACCTATTAGATCATCCCAAGCACTAGCTTCCCACACGTCATCAAGAAGGACGAGATATCTTTTGGAGAGTAAAACTCTACGAAGCTCATCAGCTAGTTCATGATCACCGCAGCTTTCTCTACTTTTAGAGTCCTTACCGATAACATCACATAGAATGACCAATAACAAGTTCTTACGTGGATATTCTTGAGACACAACATTATGCACGAATATCAAAGTGAGAAACAACTAACCTGTCAGAGTATAGTCTGTAGGCCAGAGTCGTCTTGCCTAGACCCGGCATGCCAGAAATTGAAATAACATCTCGCCCTCTGGTTCCTTTTATTAGTTGGTCTCTTAACTTTTCTATGACATCCTTGGAGTGCTTGATGACGCATGAGACGTACTAGTGTTCTTCGGAGCTTCTTTGCATATACATGCATCAACTATGTACTCTACCTCATATGCTTTGCCAATCAATTGTGTAGCACAATGGTGAATTTTGTCGAGGTCAATATTCCCTTCTGTACTAGCCTTGAGAAAAAGTTGCAAGCTCTCGAGTTCCTTCTGAATTATTAGAATTTGGTTCGTGACAGAAGCTAGTGAATTTGAATGGCGGCTTTGGAACTCTTCAGGTTGTTCAAAAGGAAATCAACATAGCCTAGTCCATGAATCCTAGGCAATATAGATTGAAACGCCTCCCGTATGGTGGGGTAGATCACTGTGCTAATGAGCTTTAACTCTTATTTGCAAGAAAAGCAAAACATTGATTTCACCTAGAACAACCACATCACGGCCTGAAAGATACAACCAGGCAAGCATTGATGCATGACCAACCACAGCTAAAACATGAGCGAAGAAACTAACATGATATTGGCTCTGAGGTTCTGAAACAAAGCAAACGAAATATTGCACCAATTTCAATTCCTTTAAAACATCTTCAGTATGTTCCTTGTTTTCCGGAACATAAACAAGTGAACAAGAATCATCAACTAGATCACAAAGATTCTCTACCACAGTATCGATGAATTTAGTAAAAAAATTGAGAATTGCAGCAATACCATCCTTGTTGGCTGAAAATGGTAAGGATGATATTTTAGGAAAGGAGTATTTGGCTCTAATTTCCATCTTAATCAACCAAATCTTGTTTTGTACAATAAAGGGACAAAGATCAAAGTACTCGGCTAGGTGTAATTCAGAAAAGTCAAATAGAGCATCTTCAAACAGAGCTTGGACTTTCTGAACGACATCTAGCATGTTGGGACATTCATCTGTGTAGCTCTGCAAGCTGAGAAAAATATCCAGGAATTTGAATTCCCGTTTAACGAACCTGACTGTATCTTTCGTAGTATCAGGCAAGTATAAAATATCGTCAAGTTGTTGCAAACGTTCAAAAAGACGATTCTTTGAAGACAAGTATCGGTTAGAAGACATCTCAAAAGTTGAACTGCAAAAGGGAATTAGGAGAGAAATTCAGATGTTTGATACTAAGCCTTTACATACAAAACAACATTTTATACTACTTAGGAGGTTTTCTTCTCTTTTCTTAGAATTTTATATTCCATAACTACTATTACTACTTATATTTTAGTTGTACTCCACTATAACAAGTTTATAGCAATTTGCATTCTCATAGCAATTACAATATTAAAGATAGTAGACTTCAAGGACAAAGAGTAGTCAAAGTCATCTTTCACCCTTAAAAATAGTCATATAACATGGATAGACAATTATCAGTCACATGTGGATATACCTAAATCTACACATAACACTATAAGAATCATTATATGATGTAAGCAATCAAACAAGAAAAAAAAGTACTAATAAAAAGGAAATAGTGTTTGTAATACACTTTAATACAATTAACGAAAGAGCTAATTAGTTTGGGTGGATGCCGTTTCGAAAAGGACATATATGGGCCAACTGTGTAACTCTAAGGGCATATATGGACCAACTATGTGACGGTAAGGGCATATTTGAGCTAAAGTATTAACGAAGGGCAAATGTGCTCAATTTCGTATAGTACAAGGACATATTTGGACCTTTGCCCTTCTTATAATAACAAAAAAAACAAAAAAACAAAAAAAAACACACACTAACCTAAAAGTTCATGATCTTCAAATTGTGTTGGCTAATACTCATCCTCCTCCTCCTCGTTATCGCCTTCATCACCATTATCATCAGCAACAGCAGCAACACCATCATCATTATCATCTATCGGAGAAAAAGAGATCAGTTAAGTCAGTAGTTGTAAACTTAAGTGTTAAAATCTAATTAAACAAGAAAGCCTACATGAAGAAAATGTGTAGATAAAAAGTTATGATCTATTTTTAAAGTTTTTCTTTTTAATAATAATAATACTAAAGCTTTATCCAAGATTTCAAGCAAAAGGAATAATAAGTAAAAGGCGTTGCGTTAGAGAAATAGGAGAATCGATTTAACAAAGTTTTAAAATGAAACTTCAATGTACGCAGTAAAATTTTCTGATTAGTGTACCTTAGTCTGAATTGTTATTTTCCTCTCTAGAAGATAGAGACCATTGGCGGAGCCACCTTATAGCAAACACCCCTTGGCGGAACAAAAATACATTATGTAGGTAGGTTAAAAAAAATTATATGCATATATACTATATGTTGACTCCCCTTCACTTTTATATATTTTGAGACCCCTTAATTACATTTCTGACTTTGCTAGTGATAGAGACCCGGAACTCTGAATTCTGATAATCTTCAACTTGCGTTTCCCAAATATCCCTTGCTGACTTGTCGACAGAATCATTGCATATCCTTACCACAATGGATTTTAGAGAAGAGATGTCTCTGAAACAAGAAGGAATCTCCTCAAGAGAGTAGCAATGACGCAAAACCAAGTGTTCAAGGTTAGGAAAGGCATCATCGGGAACAGTCCATTCTCGTAAGGAGAATATATTGTATAATTTCAAGACTTTGAGTTGAGGGAACTCGCCATTGCTCACTTTCCATTTCCTATCTTTAAAGTACACCCACTCCAGTTTGAGTACTTGAAGATTCTGAAGTGAAGCAATTCCTAATAAGTGCTGAGGACACAGGTGAAACCATTTTAGTTTCAAGTTTTTGAGATTTGGCGCAGAGATGCAAAAGGGGATTTTTTTCTTTGGATTTGAATTATGAATCTTCAGCGTTTCAATCCCTGTTGGAAAATTCAGTACATAGTACTGAAAGTTGTCAACACCCTTGACTCTGCATCTCAGTTCCCGAAGATTAGGTGTTTTTCCCAACATCAATTCTGCATCCTCGACACAAGAAAAACTTGGAGTGGAAAGAGTTTTCAGATCATCAAGTGTTTTTGAGTTCTCATGTAATTCTTCTGCATTTTCTATGGTAAAGCTGCACTTCGAAATATGAAGATGCATCAATTTAATCATCTCCCACAGTGTAATGGGTACTGACATTTTGCCTTCATCATTGTGTATTATCAGAGTTTCAAGATTCCAACAATTGGCTATGAATGATGAAATCGACGACTTCGAAGTTTTTGCAGCAAGATACCTCAAGTAAACTAGATCAGTTGGGAAAGAATCAATACAAGTGAACTCTAAATCCAACACTTTCAGAAATTTGTAGGTGAAAAAAATGTGGGAGAGTTCGTGACATGTAAGGTGAACACGATTATGCATAATGAAAGAACCAACATGTGACAAGTACGAGCTTGATTCTCCAATATGATAGTCTTCACCATAAATGGACATGCGATGAGCAAGTTGCTTGTGACAGTAAACGCGGGAAGAAGGATTAGTATTTTGATCACTGCAAATATAGAAATTAGTAAAATTATAAGATTACTTGTCAACATAACATGAACCACTTAATTAATTGAACCAAAAGAGTGCCACTAAATGGTATATTACCGTCTTTTGATCGATATGAGAAGATTCTCTTCCGCTGCTCTCTCCTTGCAGAAATCATGCAATAGGTCATGAATGAGACATGCTTTGATCTCACCTCCCGAGCTCCTCTTAGTTCCCATCACTAGATTTTTTCCAAAAAGATTTTCCAAATAACCCTTTGCTATATCCTCCAAGCTCTTGCCTTCACAACTTTTTACAAATCCTTCGGAGATCCACAACCGTGTTAACTTTGAAACATTAATCACACTGTCCTCTAGAAATGCTCCAAAGTAAAGAAAGCAAGACCTCAAATGATAGGGTAACATCTGATAACTTTGTTCTATAATGGCCCTCGAGTCTTTGTGAATGCGGGGACCTAAATTGTTGGCCACTTGTTCCCAACATTCTTCTTTCTTCTCCGTCTCTGCTAGAATACCAGCCACCAAAGCAATTGAAAGAGGCAACCGGCCACACTTTTTTGCTATTTTTTGCCCAACTTTTGTTAGGAGAGGGGAAAAGCTTTCGTCACCAAACACCTTTTTCCGGAGTAACTCCCAACTTTCATCATCGTTAAACATACGAAGTTGAAGGGGATCACTTTCAGATCTAGCGTAATTAGCTACTTCATGATTTCGGGTTGTTAGAATGATTCTACTTCCATTATTGCCATCATGAAAACAACCTATTAGATCATCCCACGCACTAGCTTCCCACACGTCATCAACAAGGATGAGATATCTTTTGGAGAATAAAGCTTTGCGAAGCTCATTAGCTAACTCATCAGCATGATTTTCTCTACGTTTATAATCCTCACCAATAACATCACGTAGAATTGCCAGTAACAAGTGCTTACGTGAATATATTTGAGACACACAACACATTGCACGAATGTCAAAGTAAGAAACAATTGACCTGTCAGAGTAGAGTCTGTAGGCTAGAGTCGTCTTTCCTAGACCCGGCATGCCGACAATTGATATAACATNCAACATCTCGCCCTCTGGTTCCTCTTATCAGTAGGTATCTTAGATCTTCTATGACGTCCTTAAAACCCACAAATTCATCATTCATCATTGGAGACCTTGCCAAATTTGATGATGTATGAATTGTGCCGGTATCCATTGCATCCTCAACTATGTTTTTCCCCTGAATATCTGCTACCTCTGCTTTGATAAGAGTAATCTCCTCCATGATATCCAAGAGCCAATGCCCTAGGCACCAGACATGAACTTTGCATATACAAGCATCAACAATGTGTTCTACCTCATATGCTTTGTTAATCAATTGTGTAGCACAACGTTGAATTTTTTCGAGGTCATTGTGTTGCTCTTGTGAAACAGCCTTCAGAAAAGGTTGGAAGCCCTCAAAATCCTTCTGAATGATTTGAAGTTGTTTCGTGACAGAAGCTAGTGAATCTGAATGGCGGCTTTGGAACTCCTTCAAGTTGTTTAAAAGGAAATCAACATAGCCTAGTCCATTAATCCCTGGCAATTTAGATTGGAACGCCTTCCGAATGGTGGGATAAATCACTGCGCTAATTATGTGTTGAATGTTACCCGGCAACTGATCGAGAACTTGTGCAGGGTTCACTTCTGCAAGTGATATGTCTTCCTTCTCCTCATCCTCGCCTTTATATAAGGAATAAACGAGAAGCCCGACATCAATAATGACAGTGTCAATATATCGAAGAACTGACAGAAGTTCAAGATCTCGTATCGGCACATGGATGATATTGGCTCTCAAGAGGTTGAGCATCTCCTGAAGGTTTGCCAAGTGATCATTCAAAGCAACTCTCTGACTGGAGTTGCTATTAGCTGGCAGTTCCACCAAATTGTGTAGAATTATCTTCACAAAACTGGCTTCGGTGTCAGCTGCTGGCTCATGTTGGATGTTGGGATACCATCCTGACTGTATTGTCGCCTTCAAAGATTGCAAGACATTAACATAGATCTCGCGGATGCATGGTTGAATGGGCTTAATCCTCATTCGCAAGAAATCAGAAAGCAAAACATTTATTTCTTCTGGAGCCAAGTCTGGTAAATACAACCAGAAAAACGTTGATGCGTAGCCAGCCACAGCTAAAACATGAGTGAAGAAATTAACATGATGTTGGCTCTGAGGCTCTACAAACCTCTCTGAAACAAAGCAGAAGAAATTATGCAGCAAGTTCACTTCCTTTAAAATAACTTCCACATGTTCCATTGTTTCGGGAACAAAAAGAAGTGAACGTGAATCATCAATCTTCACTAGATTAGGAAGATTCTCTGCCATGGAATGGATAAATTCTGTTACAAATTTGGGAATAGCAATACCATCCTTGTTGGCTGAAAGTGGTAATGATATTTTAGGAAAGGAATATTTGGCTTTAATTTCCATCTTAATCAACCAAATCTCATTTTGAACCGAGTTATAGAAATCACAGTAGTTGGCTAGGTGCAATTCAGAAAACTCAACTGCAGCATCTCGAAAAAGAGAGTGGATTTTCTGAGTGACATCTAGCATGTTGGGTTCATCTGTGAAGCTCTGCAAGCGGAAAAAGATATCCAGAAATTTGAATTCGTTTTTTAAGAATTTGACCATATCTATAAAAGTTTCAGGGAAGTACAAAATATTGTCAAGTTGTTGCAGATGCTCAAAAAGACGAGTCTTTGAAGACAGAAATTGGTTAGAAGACATCTTTTCTCAGAAGTGGTGAGTGATCAAAAGAAATTGTGATGAAGTTGAACTGCAAAAGGGAAGAAGGAGAGAGCAATTCAGATGGTTTGATACTAAGCCTTTGCATTCAAAATAACATTTTATACTACTCAGGAGGTTCTTTTTTTTCCCTCTTTGGATTCCTCTTTGTTTGGAATTTTATATTAGTTGCCAGCTATCATATAACCACTCAATAAATTTCCATTCACATTTTATATCAGCAATTTGCATTAATTGTCACGTTAAAGCTGACTTTAATTAAGGACAAAGAGCAGCATCATTTACCAAATCATTCTTTTTTTCTGTTTCTTTTTTATTTTTTCTGTTTCATATGGCTCTTGACCCTTATAAAGGGCAAGTTCTTTTCTTTTAGGATTGGTCAACTAAAATGAGGTTTTACAGCTTAAACAAATATTGGTAGACTATGTATGCAGTTAAAAGTTGTACTTTTTAGATGCAAATTGCTCAACACCTGATAAGGATGCTCAAGCAAGGCACATAAGTTAATGACTAGTACTAAAAGAAAAACCGACTAAAACCAGCAAGTCTGCAATTTTTTTAAGCTAAAAGCATACAACCGAAGGAGAGATGATCTACCCTTTTTCAGAATTTTGAATTCCGAAATTAGATTATAAAAATAGAGTAATTAAAGTATGGAATGCATGTGGCACGAGATTCCTTTTGTTATCATGTGCAATGACAAGTTTATAGCAATTTACATTTCTTAGTAATTATAATATTAAAGATGGTAGACTTCAAGGACAAAGAATAATAAAGTCATCTTTCACCATTAGAAATAGTCATATAACATGGATATAAAATTATTGTATCACATGTATATACATGGATCTGTTAATTATCAGAATGACATTAGACTTTAGACATATCAAAGGAAACTTCTATCATATATATGGATATTATTTGTCATTTCACATGGAAATAAATAGCTCTACACGAAACAATACAAAAAATATTGGATCTGAATAATCACATGACAAGAAAACAGTAACTAATAGAGTACAACACATTTGTA